TGAACCAACAATAAACCAATGTATCTCAATAACTTTTAGGAAAATATTGGTTAGCAAACCATTTGCAATAGGCAAGAGTTCAACATGTGTTGATCAGATATCCAGTATGTACTCTAGCGGACATACGTTTAGTGCCAGAAACGAACTTTGTTTCGAATGTATAACCCCATTGAAACTGTCCGTCTCATTTAACCTATTATTGCAGACACAAATATCTCAACATGATCCGGCACAGATAAGGAAAGCTTAGAAAGCAGACCATACAAAACCACTTTATCTGCCGCATGAAACCCAACCATGCAAAAAAAATCTTATTTGTAGTCCCTTACATGTAGAGTCTGCAATTTTGCAAAAAGGCATTCCATCAAAGTTTCATATATTAAGATGATTTAAGATTACTCATTAGTCATTAAGCATAAATAAAAATGCCAATCAGTTAATTGGTTAAGAAGATGGTACCATGGAGAAGCCTGATAGATAACATGCATTCTTTAGAAATTACCATACCATGGCAAGAAAAAGCAGGATCTTCGAGGTTTAGACTGCCAAATTTCTTCTCATACCAATACTCCACATATGGAGGTTGTCAAATAATATGCACCACATACTTGGGAAGAACGAAAACGGTTATATACTGCAAATAACTTTCGAACTTCTACTTTCATGAATTGGATAATGGTTTAAAAGAAAATAAAACGACACACTACTGCTGATCTGACAACAACAAGATAATCAGTGGAAAGCCAATAAACCTGGTCAACAAAAGTCACTGCATTAAAAAAGATAATAGAAGAAACAAGAGGTAAGAATAGCAGCAGCACATGCTTGAAGCTACAATTTCAAGAATATCTAGAGGAAACCTGATTAGCCAACTAGCGCCATAAGGAACATAAATATTTAACAAAAAAATGAATTAGAAAATTAATACCAAATGGAGTTAATCATAGAAGTAGCACACAAAGTACATGGATAACTCTGTTTTGCATGGCTTCGCTATAAGATTAAGTTATTAAACCTCAATGTTGATAATTTGAAAGTAATATCTTCTTATATGATGATCTAAACACCAAATATAGCTTAGCAACAAAGTTAAAGGTGTGCCACCTATTACTTGTTCATGGAGACTTCTGGCAATTCCAAACAAATGAAATATTGCATGGATCAGCAATGCTCACCTTAATAACAATAAATATGGTAACTGAAGCTCATATAATAAAAAGTAAACCTTGTTCCAATGGACGCTGCCATTCCATTTTGCTTCCACATCTCCTGTCTTAGCAGCTGTCGAGCAAGATCTTGAACTGTAGCTAGAATGCTTAGTATTTTGTAATGACCTTTTATACAAAAAAACTCATATGATATCAGATTTCACTATAAAGAGTACTGATATAACAGAATATCTTTATTCACTACCAGCGAATATACCTTTCTCAATTATTAGTGTTCAAACCTATTTCTTATGCATGAAGAAATAAAATTCACAGGAACGTAGGAAAGATAATGCAATTAGGCCAGAAATCAGTACATATACCTAACCTATTCTCTCTTAGTTTTTCAAGTAAAAGTTGATATTTCAAGAACATAACATATCCGCAGTTTATTTAGGGTATTTAATATAATCTGCATCAGTTTGTTAGCTTGTTCGAATCAATGAAGATACATTCCTTCACCTGCCAATGGGGATCACAAGCTTTAGCAAAAGTGACAAATAAATCTCTCCAATGGTTTTAATTCTATTTTACAAAACCCAGATGGGATAGGGACAATTACACAAGGGAAGTGAATTTAATACAACATATATACAGAGAAGAAACAATGCAAGAGGGTGAAAAAAAAGGAGCATTACTGGTAGATCTGCAACATCATCTTGTACATGTGCATTTGAAACATATGATACCCCTTTCATTACTACTAACAGACCAGCAGATGTAGAGCAAACCGTTTGAGAGTTTTAAGAAAACTAAATTATATCCAACTTAACAAAATTTAAGATCTTAATTGTTCAAAATAAATTGGCATACCTATCTTGTAGATGGATCAAGATGATATTTAGAACATGCTCAGCTAGTTGTAGTAACAACATAACTAACTGGTCCCTGTTACCCACGATTTTGCACATTTCAACCATAGGCTATGTATCTCCTGAAATCAATAACAAGCCACAAGCACATCACACTAGTCAAGCGTTTTTCCACAGGCATCAATTGCGTAATCTACGTATCTCTTCACGTGACACTATTTCATCAACTTTTCAAGTTTACTAATTGCTTTCATAGATTAGGTGTATTACTAATGGCCCATCATCAAGATCGTGAAGCATTAGGAGAAAGGATTATACCTATTTCGTTAATATTTTCAACATATATGAAAGGACAAAGGTGGAAATTCTATGAGAATGGCCCACTTCTGCTTTTGTATGCATGAGCGAGCAGAAGAATGAAATTCACTAACCTTTTACGTATGTTGTCAGATGGTGTGACATATTCTTGGCAATCACACATCTTAATTACCACATCTACATCTACATCACTTGTCTATAGAGCTCGTTTATGTATCCAATCTGCAAAATCGTACATGCATTTTTGAATATGTTAAATAAACTTGAAACATGTAAAGAGTAGGAAATTAGGATAATATTAACCTTATGAAGGAGTAAGGACTTTTTCTCTGCTGCTCTCTCGAGTGAATCAGTCACATGCGAAAGAAGTGATGCAAGGAGCATCAATGTGGGTCGCCGTAGTTCATTGGAGTTATCAAAAGAATCATGAGAAGGGAGATGAGTGTTTACTTATGTTTGATTAAATAACGAAAAGTGGACAGAATAAACAGAGGGAAGTGGCTACGAAAATACATGCAACCTCAAAGAACTTTTGGTCACTAGAAAATATAAGTAAGAAGTCAAGCTGAATCGCCACTGAGACCATTTAGCTCTGATCCCTTCTGTCCACCAATAAGGAATAAAAAGAGAAACGCTTCTGCCATCTCAGAACTAGATTGCTATTGTATGACTAGAGCTTTTAAAGAGGAGTACCTAGTTCCTACTTCTACTAGTTAGAAGCATCATAGATGTATATATTAGGGACTAAAACAACAATTGCAACAGAAAGATCAAAAACATATTACCTTGATTATTGTTCCTCGCTTTTGCACATCATACCCTGCATCGCTCTGAATTTTCATATCGACCGCCTCATATTTCCCTAGAAGTTACATTTGAGATTAAAAGCAGAGAAAATATCGAGGTCACCTATAAAAAACCTGATAACTACATATAACATTTTACCTTGAAGCTAATAGTTCTACATGCGGCGATATGTTCTAGTCACCCATGGCGAACAGAACCTGGCCTCCAGACTTTCCATACTTGTGGCTAATCCTAAGTAGCAATGCAACTTCTGCCTCTAATGTACATGCTGGCTGATGTGACTCCAGCAAATGTGCTCCATCCTCGGCCCAATGGTCACATGCATGAATGCAAGTCATGGAAATAAGTATACCCACATACAAATCGTGTCTCTAGTGTATGTAACCTAGCTGCATATAAAGACTTAAATCCCCAATACCTACCCTGTAAACCGGGCATAAAACACACAAGTTACATAAGCTGTTTATGAGTGGAATTTGCATGTGTTAACTCCTACAGACTACTGATTTACTCCTGTTGCTGATTATAAGTCTAATCTAAATAAATAATTTTTAACTGGTCACCAAAGTTGCAACAAATAAGAAACTTATAGCAATAGGCTTACTAGTAAACACCACAATTAGTAATTCCCTAGAGATACCTGTCGGAGAGATTACTAATGCTTCCAACGCAAGACCATATGAAACCTCTCCTCGGGAGCTGCATCTTTCCCTGGAAGAATCTTTTGCTTTCAAACTTCGCATATCCTTTCAGAAAATATCCTCTGTTGCTTCCTCAGCTCCCGTCTTACCGTTCTGTTCTTGATGACTATCTTGTTCGTGAGATGATCATCAAACTCGGCTACTAGAGCTCTTGAAGAATTTTGAATTACGAGCTGAAGAAACCTCCTCAGAAGAGTCATACTGGTTACACAGAGATTCACTGGTGTGCTCTGGATCCGAGAAAGACTTCTTTCTCTTCCTGCCACTGTCCTCGCGTTCCCTAATTCTACTGACGGACTAGACGTGAGAAGACGGCATGGATAATCGAGCAAACCCAGCCTACCGAGATTGTAGAAGTATGAGAAGGTGACAATAGCAAAGTCATGCTCTGGGACCACAGCCTTCTCCTCTTCTGAAGGACCATCGTCTCCTAACCACTCGCACCACAGTTTATCAATTCCAGTTCGTTTCAAACAACCTAGCAGCTATTCGGCCAAAACCAATGAACCTTGCTTCACATCAAGAGTTCTCTCCTTGATCAGCACACCAGAGATTAACAGATCATCAGCACTGATGCGGTCATCAAACCAGTAGTTGAACCGGAGCTCAATCAAACCGAAAGCACAAGGCCTATTGAACTCAATCAGGACATATGTTTCTTCCAAGGAGCCTACAAGACGGACCAAGAGGATTTAAAAGACGAAACAACCATTTCCAGAAACTTAACTCATCAGAGAATAACCTCAAATTTGTTTCATCCCAATCGGAGTTATGACGAAGGAGATATTCTGTTTGCAAATCGAGTGTTTCTGCACTTACCCGATTTGGACATATGCGGCTTAATTGGAGGAACTAAGCTGTGAACCGAGTTGTTATGGAATCTGGATTCATCAGAGATTTCGGGAGAATTGGAATCATACCAATACCGGTTTTGGTTTGAATGTTATTCAATTTCTAAATCAATGGTTTTGCGGCTTGCCTTATTTGGAGTCTCATGAGTTTGGTCAAGATCAAACGTATTTGTGGTGACCAGGAGACATTTATTCTGATCTAGAAGCTTCCCAAAAGGCCCTACAATGCTCCTGCACTCAGAGGATTAGGCGAATCCTCTTGCATCTCAACTTTTCTTATTTTGACGAATTCACACTTAAGGTTTTAACTTCCCAACGGCTAATCCTTTTTGAGCAAGACTTTGAAACCCTCCATATGAGAAAGAGACTTCTAAACCAACCAGGATTAACGTCCAAAATATCAAGGTACAAGGGAGATAAAACTTACCATAATTGGTCGCGTTCACACCTAGCTTTAAAAGTCAAACAGCTAGTGCATTCAACTCTGATGAGAAGAGCCTCATTCCTTACCATATATTCAGATCACGTGCAGCTCCTCTTCTCATTCATTTCGAACGTTCACTTTTCCCCATTTATGTTGAAAATCTTATTTT